CTCTTTAATGCCACTCCCTAAGTATTCAAATGAGTCTATAGGAGCCATTCTCATTTGAACGATGACTCCACAGATTTCTCTACTTTGTTCCTTCTTTTCTCCCCCACCCCCCTTTCCTTCTGTCCTACCTAGAGTAATTGTCAGCTTGGCACAGCCTACAGTCACCTGAGAGGAAAGCCTAGGTTGAGGAATTGGTGAACTCGGTCCGGCCAGTGGGCATGACTGTTGGAGTTTGTCTTGATTGGTAACTCAGGCTTCCATGGGCGGCGCTGTCCCTTCCTAGGTGCCATCTTCAGGCAGGTCCTCGGATGTATAAGAAACCTAGGCAAGCAGGAGCCTGTGTGACCCCAGCAAGCCACCTTCTTCCATATTCCTGCTATATTTTCCTGGTTCTGAGTTCCGTCTTTGGAGGTTATGCTGTATCGAATGGCAAGCTGGCCTGCCTTGGATTTCCTGCCCTGAGTTTTGGTCCTCATTTTCCTTCACGGTGGATTGTGATCTAGAAGCATAAACTGAAATACTCTTTATCTCCCAGGATGCTTTTGGTCAGAGTGTTTTATCACGGCAACAGGAAGGAGAGTAGAACTTCTTTTCCTCTGTTCTGGCAGAGAGGCTCAGCAAATGCATGTCTGATTTATCCAGCTGCAGCTATGATGGGTGAAGTGAGCTACAGGGTGGGAGGGGAACCGTTAGCACATTTGTATAGCTATTTTATTGGGTTCTTATATCTACTGTAAGACCCCCAGAGAGGGGAGACCCTCACTCAAGTCTCGAGAAGATGCAACTCACCCACGACCACGAGAGACACCAAACTTGTTGCAATAGCAAGAGGTTTAATTAATCAAAGTCAGCGCTGGGTCGAGACTCGTATCCCATGCAAGGGCAGAGGAGTGTTGGCCAAGAGGCTTGGGAGGAAGGGGTATTTAAAGGAGAAAACTGCAAACCAGGGGGGTGAAGGGGGAAATCAAAAAGTGGAACAGTAGTAAATTTTAACCTATACCATAAAAATATTGAAAAGTTTTCAACCTATTATTCAGTTAGCCATAAACCAAGGTGGGGTGTGGGAAACATCCTACACACATTTTTCTCAGGAATGTGACCTTAACCTATCCCATTGTGGTCAGCCATGTCCCGGAGCACCTTGACCAACCTGTATTTGTAGTTCTGCTATTCTTTGTAAGTCAGTCCCTGGAACGGCCTAGCTGACTTGCCTTCTGGCTCTTTCTTTAACTCAGGCCTGTGAATTTACTAACTTTAATTCAGATGGGGGTCCTGATCTTTTTCTATAATTTTTGCCTCCCTACACTACCTCCCTTACAACCTCCCAACACTAGGTAAGAGAGAGAAGATCAGGAGGAAAAGGGGGCATAGACCTCTTTAGACTACTTTCTGCTTATTAGGGGTGTCGGTTCCTAGGGAGTAAGTCCAGTTTTCATCATCAGATTATCCAGCAATCCAGCAAACACAGCAGCAGCGGGAGCAGCCACTGCCATAGGCTGGCTCAGGCTCTTTCATTTATACCCTCTCAATTAAACTCTGCAGCTGGCAAAAATCATACCCCTGCTAGTGCGGTGAGGCAAATCAAAATCACCTGCTGTGAAGCAGCCTCTTATCCCACACCTTAGATTAAAACAAAAACATATTTGCGGGCTGGAGAGATGGCTCAGTGGTTAAGAGCACTGACTGCACTTCCAGAGGTCCTGAGTTCAAATCCCAGCAACCACATGGTGGCTCACAACCATCTGTAATGAGATCTGATGCCCTCTTCTGGTGTGTCTGAAGATAGCTACAGTGTATTCATATATAAATAAATAAATCTTTAAAAAAAAACATATTTGCATAATATAACTGTTTTTGTTGTTGTTGTTTTTTGTTTTTGTTTTTTGTTTTTAACCAAAATCCTCACTACAGGGGAACAGTGAAAAAAAAAAAAAGCTAGATTCAGTGCTTCTCAACCTGTGGGTCACGACTCCTTTGGCAAACGTCTATTTCCAAAAATATTTATATCACAGTTCATAAAAGTAGCAAAATTGCAGTTATGAAGTAGTAAATTAAGTAATTTTATGGCTGAGGGTCACCATGACACAAGGAGCTGTATTACAGGCTCGCAGCATCAGGGAGGCCGAGAGCCACTGAAGCATTAGAAGTTGAGAACAAGAAGATAATTCAAGATTGGTCTTTTGAGAACAAAGAGACACCAATATAGAGACCCAGGGACAGAGAAAGTTGCGGCCATCTGGATGTGTTGGGAACATTTCTGTGTCATTTCCATACCAAGCAAGAGCCCAGGGAATGGAATGTTAGCCTAGCTCCCCTGCACAAGGGTGCCGTGCTGGGTATGCTCAGCGCCTTGCTGGGCTCCACAGAGCAGGGCAGTCTGACAGCTGCCTGCTCATGATCTTCAAATGCAAGGCAGTGAGCAGTGGGCGTGGGCCTCTTCTCTTCCCAACAAATCTTTGCTCTCCCTTGGGAAAACATGAGAGGCTGGAGATGGGAAATCAGCCTGCCTCAGTGGGCAGCATCCTGGTGGACTTTAGAGACTTCCTGACGTCATTCATGAGGGCTCCGTTCTCCCTAACTGGTCACCTCCCTCGGTTGCACGTCTTGGTGCCTTCACAGATTGTGTGCGGTGGAGTGTTCACACATCCTTTGGGGGTGGGGTATGTTCATCCTGTAGCACCCTGATTAGATGGAATAACAAAGGCTTAGTTGTCTTGCACACACAAGGATTGGGGTTCAATCCCCCAGAACCCACATTAGAAGGCCAGATACAGTGGTGTGTACTTGTAATCCCGAGATTGGGGAAGCAGACACAGGAAGATTCCCTATGTGGCAAGCGCCGGGCCAGTGAGAGAGTGTCTCAAAAGCAAGGTAGATGGTTCTTGAGGAACCCCAGAGGTTGTCCTGTGGCTTTTATACACACAATTACACATATGCATGAACACACACACACACGACAAGATAAACAAGTTTGAATTCAGTATGGTACTCACTTGATGTGACCCATTTGAAACTAATTTACCACATATAAAGCATTTAAAGTATGCTATTGATGGAAACTGTACAAAGTGAGTGTTCATTCAACAAATTATCATATACTGAACACATAATACAACTGCCATCTCATTTTTTTTTAATGATAAAGAACCTCCATCTGGCTGTTTTTGGTGGTGAGTGCCTATAATCCCAATATTGAGGAAGCTAAGGCAGAAGCAGCTTGAGCTAGCCTGGGCTATAGAAAGATCCTGTCTTAAAAGAGAGAATGAGAGGGGAGAGGGAGAGTGCCTAAGACTGAGCACATCTATGTGGACATCTTTGTTTCCTCTGACATTGATTCTGTCTCTGAGCTACTGAGAACAACCCAACTCCCAGCAAGCCTTACAATTCCAGACCGCTTGCCAGTGATGGAAAACTCTAGAGGGTTAATATTTAAAAATGAATGTTGTGGATACCAGAAGCACTTAGGATTCTATCCATGTTGTCTCTCCGTGTTAGGTTCTCCTATGGGTTTACTTTTCTTACATCAGCCACTCACTGAGTCCACGCAGGTGCAAGATGCAGAAGGCAGGTTACCCGTTGGGATAATAAGTAATACACCATTAGAGTAACACAGGGCTATAAACGGTGCTGAGATGACAGTGGCAGGTGTGGCATGCCAATCGTTTTAGGTGATTTCATTTTAAACAGCAGGAAACTGAGCTCTTAGATTGGCATATATCGCTTGCTGAAGGGAGTCCAAAAGTGTGTGTGTGTGTTACATACACAAACCAATTATGGAAATGGCTTTCTCATCCAGAATGGAGGGTGACTGAGCGCAAGCCCAATTGCACTCATGCTAAACTAGAAGGGGCCTCAGGTACATCGGGCCCAAGGCCACTGCCACTTCATTTGCCAGTGGAACGAGTCTCGTGGCTAAATGAGGCGAGGATCCACTTAGTCTCTAGGGGAGAGCCTTAGGCGGCTGTGGTTGGCAGACATGTGTGGAGGTATGAAGCAGAGCTGGGGGCTTCCAGGCATGGATGGGGATAGGATGTAGGCCTGCGCCAGCGGACAGCAACCAGGGCGAGCTTGAAAAACCTCCTGCAAACAGGTTGTGGTACTCAGGACCAACGCCAGTTACTCCAGTCTACAGGAGGCCATTGTTTTGGGCCAAGCTGCAGTGTGAGCCCCTAGCAGTCCAGATCGGGCCAGGATGGAGTCAGTCACTAACACTAAGGTGACCATCAAATTGAGCTTTGGGTGGAAAAAAACAAAACAAAACCCTGCTTTGGTCTAGTTTTCCCCAAGCACCAGAATCCCACTCAGCTGAATGAATTCACTCAGCGAGGAAGTTCTATTTCAACCATGGAAGGAGAACTCTGCTGAGAGAACCCCCGTTTTGATCCTGTTTCTGCTCTCCTAGCCCTTTCTGACGCTCAGATCAGCTCACTGGAGGCTCCTTCTACTTCCAGGTTGCAATAAAAAAAAAAAAAAAAAAAAAAAAAAAAAAAAAAAAAAAAAACTAAATCAGACCTTTAAACTAGACTCTTGCTACCTTGTCTCAGATATTCACCTCTGGGGGTGGAGGCCAGGATAAACTGAGGTTAACTCTTCCCTAGCTGACCGCTCCACAGCCAAGTGAACATTGTACTCGGAGTTCAAATCCCACCAGGGTCTGCTCCTTCAAGGAGGGTTTCTATTGCTTCATAGGATCTAACTTGGAGTCTGGTGTGAGGGTTTTAGGGACAGAACTCAGATTCTTAAGTAGCAATGACAAGGTACCTGGTATTCCCACGCATGCGTCCGTGCACACACCTCACGTGTGTCTGGCACACAGGAGCACAGGGAGCCCTACCGCCCTATTTACAGACCTTGCAGCCAGCCACAGGCAGAGAGCACCAGGAGCAGGGAAGAATGCGCGTGCGCCGTGTGTGCTGGGAAGGGCGCGGGGGTGGGGTGGGGGAGTGGGGTTGGAAACGCATGCGCGACCACGGGGCGGTGCTTTCGCGGCCGGCAGGGGCGTGACCTTTAGCGTAAGGGGTGGGGCCTGACCGCCCTGCCTGATCCCGACTTCCCTGTACCGCGACCCCCACGCACATGGCGCGGCACGTGTTCCTCACCGGGCCTCCAGGTGACCCAGAGGCTGCGGGACTTGGCGGGGAGGTAGCATGCTTGGACCTCTGTCCGGTCTCCGGCCTGGCTTGGTGCGTCTCAGCCCGGCGGGAAGGAAGGCCAGGAGGACAGCGAAGCATCGGTTACAGGTCCCCAAAGACCGGTTGTCACCCTGGTCTCGCGCCACTGAGGCTTAGGTGTACTCTGTAGACTATGGAGTCAGTTGAGCAGGCAGAGGCTTTGGGGAGGAGCAGAGGACCTTAGTAGGAGGCGCGCCAGCCTTGCACAGCATGCCCTGCATTTGAAATCCGGGTGCAGTTGGATGGGTCCCCAGCTTCCTGCTGTGAGGTTCACCTATGCTCATGAGAGGTTTAATGAACACAGTACTCACATACTTTCCCCTCCTCCCCGAGGAGAGCCAGGGAGTGTTGTCAGTCCCGGATTTACACCGTTACACCCCTGCCTCCTGTCTCCAGAGTTAGTCTGCCCCTTGGGCTGCAGGCCCCACTCCAGTGTGTCTCACTAACTATGCCAAAGGGTTTGGCTTTCTAAGCCCCTCTCCTGCAAGTTAGCGAGACTTAGAAAAGAAAGCACCTTGTGTCAGCACCCCTGCCTCTTAGCCTCTTCCCAAATATTGACCAGCATCTGTAAGTCATCTCAAAGAGGACTCTCTGGTTACCCACTCAGCCCAAGCAGCCTTCTGCTAGAGCTGAAGAGGCACGGGAGGAGTCTCACTCACGTGCTGCCGTTTTATACTTTGCTACATACCAGTCCCTGTCAAGAGATAGCCTCTGGGATAGCTGTTGGGCTGCTGTGTGTTGTCTTTTTGGAAATACGGATATACAGAGTTTGAAAATTACATTTATTTATATATGTGAGTGTGCGCGCAGGTTTGGAGGTCAGAGGACAACTTTGGGGAGTTGGTGCTCTCCTTCCACCATGTGGGTCTCAGGCTTGGAGGCAAACACCTTTACCCCATTGAACCATCTTGCTGGTCCATAAAAGTACTCCCCTCCCCTTATAATAAAAGTGCTGCCTTGCTTAGTATAAGAGCAAAAATCAAGTGTTAAGAAAGTGACAGCCCTTTGGTTGGCCGCTGGGGGCAGAGGGGCAACAGTGAGGGGCCAGCGTTTGGGATGGAAATAAATGGGGGGGGGCGCTAGCCCCAGGGAACTCCCTCTCTGGAGCTAAGCCTGGGGCCTTTGTTCCGTATTGTTCCAGAACACATCTGCTGTGGGTACATACAGACTTTTGCTTAAAATCGGTACCTTAGAGGTCTGCAAGAGTCTGACATACTCAGAGGCAGATGTTCACAGCTAGCCATTGAACTGATCATGGGGTTCCCGATGGAGGAGTTAGAGTGAAGACTGTAGGAGCTGAAAGGGTTTGTGGGCCCATGGGGAGAGCAACAATACCAACCAACCAGAGCTCCCAGGGTCTAAACCACTAGCCTGGGAGCACTTAGGGAGGGATCCATGGCTCCAGCTGTATATGTAAGGGTGGAGGGCCCTGCTGGGCATAGGTTGGAGAAGAGATCTTTGGTCTCATGAAGGCTGGACACCCCAGTGGGTGGGAATTTGAGGGTGGGGGGGTTGGAGTGGGGGGATAGGTAGGGGTACATCCGCAGAGAAGCAGGAGGAGGAGTGAGGGGATTGGGGGTTCCTGGGTGGGGGGGTGGGGTAATGAAGTAAGGGGGATAACATATGAAATGTAAATAAAACATCCAATTTAAAAAAAAATCGGTACCGATTATACTGCAACCCTCTGGCCCAACACCCCTGATCCACCTTCTCAGCCAGGCTTCCTGCCCTAAAGGCTTAACAATCTCCTCACACAGTACTGGTCAGACACATGAGTGGCTGGAGGGGTGCTTTAGATTTAAACCAGAACAGAGGGTAAATCTAGGAGGAAAGGAAGTCCCAGATAACATCCTGGGACCAAGTTAGAGATAAATTTCATGCCGCTGCCATATTTACCACTGTGCTCTCCTCGGCTGGGATTGAAAATTCCTGACACCTGGAACAATTAGCCTGCCAGAGTGATGGCAATTGATAGTCATAAAATGCATTTGCAGCCCATTCTGTCCGCAGCTATCACTTTTGCAGGCCAGGTGGGCCCGGCAAGGTAAAACTTCTTGACCCGTCTTCTTTGTCTCTTTCAGGGGTTGGCAAAACAACCTTGATCCAGAAAGCCATTGGGGTCCTGCAGTCCTCCGGGTTGCCCGTGGATGGATTTTACACGCAAGAAGTCAGGCAGGAAGGGAAGAGGATAGGATTCGACGTCATCACCCTGTCTGGTGCCCAGGGACCTCTGTCCAGAGTGGGGTACTGATGTTTTGTTTCTTCGGGGTTTTGTCTCTAGCCTGGCCTCTGCACTTCTTGGGAACATTTCTTCACTGTGTGAGTGTCCATGCATGTGGTCCATGGGTGTGTGCAGAGGCCAAATGAGGAAATCTAGTGCCCTGCTCCTAGTCCCCCAAGACAGGGAGTCTCACAGAACCTGGAGTTGGCATGAGGGCCAGCCCCAGAAGTGTCGTGGGCAAGCCTCAATCACTAAGCTATAACCCCAGCCCTCTGTTTAATTTTAACCTTAGTTTTGGTACAAGGTCTTGCTATGTAGCCCCAGCTGGCCTGGAACTCACGGAGATGCACCTGCCTTTGCCTCCTAGTGCTGGGATTAAAGGCGAGCACCACCATTGCCCAGCAACCCCTTGCTTACTTTTTATTTTGAGAAAGTCTAAGTTGCCCAAGCTGGCTTTGAACTCAGGTATGGCCCAAACGGGCCTTAAGCTCTTTGTTCTCTTGCCTTCTCTCACCTCAGCCTCCTGACTAGTTAGGACGATGACAGGAGACCTGCTTGCTGCACTGGGCTCAGCTGTTGTGCTGTGGTGTGTGGGCTCATTGGAAGTGCAGAGACCTTACTGTTAACACTGCGTCTTAGTGAGGGGTTTACTGCTGTGAACAGACACCATGACCAAGGCAACTCTTATAAGGACAACATCTAATTGGAGCTGGTTTACCCATTCAGAGGTTCAGTCCATTATCATCAAGGCAGGAACATGGTTGCATCCAGACAGGCATGGTGCAGGAGGAGCTGAAAGTTCTGTCTTCATCTGAAGGCTGCTAGCAGAATACTGGCTTCCGGGCAGCTAGGGTGAGGTAAAAACACTCCACAGTGACACACCTACTCCAACAAGGCCACACCCACTCCAACAAGGCCACACCTACTTCAACAAAGGCACACCCACTCCAACAAGGTCACACCCACTCCAACAATGCCACACCTCCAAATAGTGCCACTCCCTGGGCCAAGCATTTATATATATAAACCATCACACATAGCAAGACTGAATTTGGCAGGAGTAGTGCTGACATTCAGAGATGGCCTGGTTTCAGGAGAGAAACCCCAGTGGGTCCAGCCTTATACACTCCCACATTTTGTATGGGGATTGTTAAGTGTGTGTGCAGAGAGCCAATGGGTCAGCAGAACAGCCCAACCCCAGAAATTGGTGGGGAATCCTCCTTCAAATGTTGTTTTCTTTCAGGTCACAGATTCTACCTGGAAAGCCTGAGTGTCGAGTGGGGCAGTATGTGGTGGACCTGGATTCCTTTGAGCAGTTGGCACTACCTGTCCTAAAAAACGTGAGTACATGTTTTCTGTAGTGAGAGCCCGGCGGCCTCTGTGTGTTGTGGGACTCACCGGCCACTTGAACACAATGGTTTTTCCCTTATAGTCAGGCTGTGCCTTACGGTTTATAAAGTCTTCCAGCCACTGAGCCCTGCTAAGGATAGGCAGCCCAATTTGCTGTCGCTCTGAGCTGTCATGTGCCCAGAGCATGTGTAAAATATTTCCTGTTAGGAAAGCTCTAATGTAGGTCTGTATCCCTGTGTTCTGGTGCCCAGAGCTTGCTTGAGTGTGTGCGAAAGAACCTGTGGATAGTCTACACACTGCTCCGTGTACACAGAGCCTACTGTCGGGGTATGTACCGCTTAGGTGTAACCTGGAGCTCTACCTGAGGAGCTGGTCACTTCCTCCATCTCTAGAGGCCTGGGAATCCTGTGGTCTGTGTTGATGTAGTATTAGGATCCTCTGCCTCTCTCCCACCCCCGCCCCTCAGTTCCTCTGGGCATTTCCCCCCATTTCTGGGCTGAGCCATGGAAGCTGCTACAAGCTGAGAACAGACAGAGACTGCTTATTTCCTCTGGGACCCATGTCTCTCTCTCATATCCACGCAGCAGCGAGAAGTGTCTGATTACATTCTGAGTGGAGAGTCCGACTTTGGGCACTGGATCCATATAAAGAATTGATTTTTGTTCAGGCAGATAGAATCCTGGTAAGAGGCAAGAGCCCATGCCTGGTATCTGGGTGCAGGCTTCTGTAAGAGAGCTCCCGTGTGCTCACTGACCAGGTCAACCACTCACCTCTTGTTTTTAATGGAAAAAGGAAATAGAAACTACCCATAGTTTTACAGTCACCCATGTTTCTGTAATGATTACAACCATAAACTCAGGCTGTCAAAACGGACCTGGGTGGAGGAATCGCTTTGATCTGTGGCTGATACTCTGGGCTATATAGACATTGGTTCTTATCTCCCCAGGAAGAGTCATGCTTTGTCCTGCTACCTCCACTCGGTGATGGCTCCCCAGAGAGGGAGGGGTCTGGAAGCGAGGCTGGGTGAGAAGAGTTGGCAGCTGCCCAGGGCTCCTGGGGTCCCGTATCATGGCACCCACTGCCTGTGTGGGGAACAGTTTGTCAGGCTGCACGTCTACTGTCACTGAGTGCCACAGACATTTGGTAGCAATGTCCTCTGGTTTGCGTTAAGGGATGATAGAAATGCAGACTCTTAGTAATTTATTACGTGGTTTTAGAATCTCACTCATTGGTTCACCCCTCCTTCCATGTTTTGTGTTTTGACGTAACTAGATCTTGCTTGGCATTTTTGTATTTTATGTGTCTGGGTGTTTTGCCCTGCCTGTGTGTCTGTTCACCAAGTGTGTGGAGTGCCCTCAGAGACTAAAAGAGGGCATCTAGTCTCCTGCAAGTAGGGCTACAGACAGTTGTGAACCATCTTGTTCTGGGAAACACGGGCCCTCTGCAAGAACAGCCAGTGTCCTTAGCCGCTGAGCTACCTCCCCAGTCCTACAGATAGCTCTTAAAGCATATGACCTTTTAATCTGTTGATTATACTTTTCTGTTCCTCATGTTGATACTTTGTTTCTTTCTTTCCTTTTTTTTTTTTTTTTGTTGTTGTTAGCACAGAAAAGCTCTTTTCTGATCCAGATTAATGCAGCATTTTACCTATATGTTTCTTCTGATGTGAGCTTGTTAAAATGCATTTTTAATCCATCTGGATTTGTTTTGAATATATAACATGCAGTGACACTCTTAATTAGTTTCTTCGAGATACTTGGCCAGTCTAAAAGCATTTGCTAAAAGCCCATGTCTAATTAGTTTATTCTCTGTAAATTGTGCTTTAAAGCTCTCATGTGTGTATGTGTGTGTGTGCACGCACACACACATGTGTAATAACTTGTGTGTTATTACAACAAGTAATTCACTCTTTCACTGACCTTTCTGATTCTTGCCTGAATACAACTCTAGTCTGAGTACCTAGCTAATTAATGGTGTTATTTTTTTTAAAAAAATTATTTTTTAATGCTATGAGTGTGTGTGTGTGTACATGTGTGTATGTGTGTGTGTGCATGTGTGTATGTGTGTCTGTAAGCATTCATGTGTGCTCACATGTCCACACATACATGTAAATGTCCATAGACACTTGAAGAGTATATCTTTTGGAGTTGGATTTATAGGTTGTTATGAGCTCCCTAAAGTGAGTTCTGGGATCCAACCTGGGTTCTCTTCAAGAACAGTCAGTGCTTTTAGGCCTGTGCCATCTCTCTGGCCCCTGCATTCTTTAAAACTTGTCATCCATTTGTGTTTGTTCCTTCCTCCACACAGAGCCCTGACTGTGACGGCCTGGCTGTCTTCCTTGCTAAGTGGAGCCAGCAAGGAGCCCATTATAAACTCAGACACTCCATCTTGCTTCTCAGATGGGGAAACTGAGGCACTGAATAGGAAGGATCTTAGGGAGGGGCACAGCCTGTAAGTAGTGGAACTGAAGCGAACGGTAGAATCAAGACCCATTGTCCATTAAAAACATTGCAAGACAGAGTCAGAATTTGACCGAACTTTGTTTTCTTACTCTTGCCCAGTGAAGTAATTTGTAGGAGTCTGCTGTTTAATCAGAGTTCTTCATGGTCTTCTAACAGTCAGGGCTGACAGGGTAGGGCTGCCTTCTCTGTAGTGGTCCTTTTGACAGCCGTGACACTGAATGTCACGAGCAAAATGTCCTAGACTGTCATGCATTATGGAATGTATCATTGTTCTGTGTGAGCGGAGGTGAAGTCTGATCCGGCCCTGAAGCGCAGCTCAGCTGCTATCCTGTGGATTCCCCGTTTTGATCTACAATAGACTTTGAAGTGTTTGGAATCTACTTTAGATCCTGCTTCAGATCTTTCAACTTCTGCTCAGATGGGAAAAGACTTCTGTCGGGGTGGTGGTGGTGTGTCTGTGTGTGTACATGTGTCTGTCTGACTGTCTCTGTGTGTAACATGCACAGGAAGTTCTACTTGATCTTCAGGCCACACAGCTATAGAAGCTATGGAAGGATCCCAACTACCAGATTCCAGTTGGATACCTTCCTAGCTGGGGACCACAGCGTTTCTTTCTTCCTTCCACATTTTGGCTCTCTACCTCACCACACCTGTGCCATGGGGTGGGCCATGGAAACCAAAGGCTATCTGGTGCGAATACAAACATGTTTAAGAGTCTTTAAAAGGCTGCCAGTGAAGCCATTCGCGCAGGAGACTCCAGAGCAAAAGGAACTAGAAGCTCAGCCCCAGGTCTCCTCGTTGGTCCCCACCCACCTCCCCACAGCACCTGCTGCTGATGTCTTCATGGCATCCCTTAGGCAGGGCTGTGCCCTGAGCAGGGAGGCACTCCTGTGACTGTGACCTTCTTGCCAAACTTTTCCCAACATTCTACGTGCTCTGACTTCACTTCATCTTCTGAGGATTAAAATAATCCCCTCTGAGGCCCGAGATGGCAGGCAGCTTTCCCTGCCAATCCTTTCTCCACCACAGTGACAGTGATCAGCACAAAGAGTGACCCTGTGCAGTGCAGGGCTGAGCTCCCAAGGCCTCAATGCTTTCTTCCTCCCAGATCTGATCTTGACTGCCTGAATCTAGTCACCTCGTTTAGAAAACAGGTCAACAGTACTTCGCTGTAGCAAAAACAAAAAACAAAAAAACAAAAAAAAAAAAAAAAAAACCAAAAAAAAACCAACCCACCCCCCCCGGCAGGGAAGAAAATGGTACCAGGCATCAACAATCTCAAACTTTTATCAAAAGTCGAAATGTTGATTCATCCCTCCCACCTCCTGGCTTGTGCAACTTCTAGAGAACATTTGGCAGTTGTGAGTGGCCAGCATGGCAGGAGTCAGAGCCTGCTGGTTTCTGGTCACGGTTCTGTGTGCAGAGAGGCTCCTGAGCTGCGGTCAGCAGACTGCATGCTTACACGTCCCCTGCAGTGATGGGAGATGGTGGTGTCTCCCACACTCACAGTGTAGGTTTCTTGTGGCAATGTAAGCTACCTTTGTGTGTGGTTCTGTCCTCTGCGGCTCTCTGGGAACCACAGTGCTTGGGGCAGGACAGGGGCCTCTTCATGGTGAGCGGAACTTCTGAGACACAGCCCATGCCTTGTGCCAGGAGGAGGTGTGTAGATGCGTAAGAGGAACTTCCAAGTCGAATGGATTTGACCCCAGCACTTACGGTGCCGTCAGTAAAGGGCATCTGTACAGATGCTCGCAGCTACTGTACAGCATGACACAGGCCTCTGCTCAAGTCCTCCCAGTGTTGCTTACTGGGAAGCTGAGTGGAAGTGGTTTTGAGGAGAAGGAGGGGGCGCTAGGTAACCATGCTGTGAAGAGATCGCCCATCACAGTTTGACATTTTTACCAGGAAGCTTGAGGGGCCAACCTGGGGACCCGAATCTGCCATGAAGTCCCAGGGGCACAGTGTCCATGGTCCCAAGGACTGGGATCATGAATTCAGGGTTCTACACTCCCTGACCTGTCAGCTGGTGTGAGCTGTCTTGGTCCTAGGATAGCTCTCCCATTCTGCAAGACACCGTGGAAACCTTCTGCTTTCTGCTTGGTCCCACAGATATGTATGAGCCCGCAGGACCAAAACAGGCCAGGTAGGGTTTCCAGGCAGCGCTGCAGCAATCCCCTGCCTGGGGCCTGGGTGTTGGCTGCACTGTGTGTACTGGAACAGCTCCTGAGTGAGGAAGTGCCCTGCAGCAGCCTGGATACAACTTTTCCTGGCCACCCTGGTGTTCTTTGTAATGCACAGGCTGCTGCCTGGTATGAGCTCTGTGGTTCCCAGGGCTGAGGCACTGGCCACAGTTCTGCTACCTGACTTCTGACGCTACCTCATTCCTTCTTGACATCATAAGCTGATGTTGCAGGGATATGCTCAGAAGCCAGACATCGGCATGATGTTAAAATCAATTAACGTTGCTACCAGGAGGAATATTTGTTGGGTAAACAGTTGAGATAAGAGAAGGGCCACTTTAATTAGTTCATCCTTGGTTCAATATTTTGTTTAAATAATAAAGCCAGGCACACCTTTAATTCCAGCACTCGGGAGGCAAAAGCAGGTAGATCTCTGAGTTGGAGGCCAGCCTGGGCTATGTGGTGAGTTCTGGGACAAGCAAACAAACACAAATGCTTCTTTGTGTTTCTAAAAGTACATAAGAAGATAAATAAGACAAAGGAATGACGATGACGGTCACCCCGTTTAG